TATAATACATAATTTTATATAATACTTCGAGAATAATGTATATAATTATATAATACTTATATAATTTTTCAATGTTTCCTTTTAGCGGGGAGGAAGGGGATGATGGTTTAGGCTAAAGAATGGCCATGGCTGTTGGCAGGGAAGAGAAATAATGCAGCCGATTTCTGTTTGGTGAGAAGGAAGCACCGGCATCCCGGGGCCCAGCCTACAGTCTCCCCTCTGCCTCGGCGGTGCAGACAGCGTTCAAAGAGACATATGTAGGTTCCATGTATTGTCCAGATATCACAGGCGGACCTGAGAATCCCTGGGCACACTGCACGGACCATCTATTTTACTGACTGCTCAGGGGCTGGAGCCTAGCCAGGTGTGATGGCTCACGCCTATAATCCCAACAGTTTGGGAGGCTAAGGAAGGAAGATCGCTTGAGGCCAGGAGTTTGAGACCAGCCTGGGCAACAGAACGAGATCCTGTCTCTAAAAGAAAAAAAAAATTAAAAAGAGCTGGAGTCTCCAGAAGAACTAACACTCCTGTAGCCATGCTTAGCCGGACAGGGCAGGTACCGTGCTAAAAACCACCTCAAGTCGTGCTCCTCCTGTTGCGTTCCAGAGGGGAGAAGAGTCAACACTTTGCTGGGCTGAATAAAATCAGCTTATTGTGCCAACGATGGCGCAGGCCTGTGGTGCCCTGATTGGCCCTTGGCCTGCTGACTCAGTGGCTGCCCTGATTCTCCGAGTCGCTACTGAGAACCAAAGTGGTGGACCCCTGGCTAACGAGTGGCGCCCGTGAATCCCACCTGCCCTTCCCCTTATACGCAGCCTGCATGCCCGGAGCTGTGTGTGGGTGACTGAGATGGTAGCGACAGTTCCCAGGACTCTTCACCTCATCACACTGGGTGTTGGGACTATTTAGGAAACCAAGCCACTGCTGCGAAGTGAGATCCTGGAGGAGTGAGTGTGGAGGGACAGTCAGTAAGATGTTCAGCCTGACTGGGCCTGTTTGGCTCAGAATAATTATCTAGAAGGAAAAGAGGTGGGCCTCAACCTTCTTGATGTGTTTTCACTTTCCAAGACCTGCTGGCCGCCTTTTACTCCTCAGCCCCATTTGAGGAATGTTTTGAGTGCCGAGAGCCGGGGAGAGGCATGTCCTCCACCAAAGAGTCAGTGGCTGCTCCTTATTTCCAGACAAGATGTCCCTGACTTGGAACTTACTACTCAGGAAACAACACATGGATGTGGTCAAGTCCTCCCCACTGCCCACGCCCCCGTGCCTGTCCGAGAACACCTCAGAGACCCCCGTGTGTTAGTGAACATAAGTCCTCCCTTGCTAGAGGGGGAACCGAGACTTGTAAAGAGGAACAAGTGAGTTGGGTGTTTTTTTCACCTGGAAGAAAGTCTACAGTTGACTATTACCTTTTCCTCTGACCCTCTTTAAAAAGCAGGTTGTGTTGCAGCAGCTCTGCTGAAGTGTTGTATGGCCTTTTGTCTCGAGGACTTTGAAACTAGCATTGTTGATTTTTCATTTTTCCTGGCAACCCTCCCTCCTATTCCCCTAGTGTTTTATATTCACTGTCTGGATGATTTAAATACAGTAGCTCTTGGTATAGACGTCCTTTTGACTTTCCCTGTAGCCTGAACCTTAGGGATATCTTCTTTCTGAGAGTAAGTAAACACATGTAGAGCAGAAGCAGAGTGGCTTTGTTGTCAGCAGAGGGAAAACTCCACAAGCCCACAAAGCGCCACCACCTCTGCTGCACTGGAACATCCGCGTCTCCAACAGACCGACCTCTGTGTTCCGGAGACACCGTGCAGGATCAGAGTGTCTGTTTGTTATCCAACGGGTATTAAAGGGAAATCATTCTTTCATATCATTAGAAGCCCTGTGCAAACACAGCCCCATGGACGAAGGCCTTTCTCAAGCCCGTTACAAGGAGCTGTTTGTCCTGGCTGCCTGTCTTTAGCAGTTGGAACAGGACCAAGCCGACGGTGGTGTCATGGGCCCTACTGCGATTTTGCTTTCTTGGACCAAAGTGTCATGGGACAGAGCTCACCAGGTGGAAGTTGAATCAGAACACCCACTGGGAACCTTCAGTAAATGCCACACGGAACAAGCTCGGAACTGTGATGGAACCTGGCAAAGAGCTTGCACCCAACCACAGAAAAGTCAAATGATCATTTCATACGTTTGCCTTTGTGCGTGGGAATTGACTAGCCACATGTGCCGGCAATCAGGACT